CCAAAACTATTTTTTGGGGGAAAGGAAGTAATTTAAAACATTGTTTTTATATAAAATAAGACTTTGATGGAGTATATTGAAAAATTCAAACCAACTACTTTAAAAAAATAATTTTGAATGGTTCTGATTTGAGATAATTTCAAATTTATATATGTTTCAGAAATAGTACACAGAGCTCCCCTATCTACTTCACCCAAATTCCCTAATTATTAACATTTCTGAACTATATGAGACTAAGTTACAGACAAAATGCTCCATTACCCCTTTATACAGAAATGAGTATTTCTTAATTACAAGTAGTCTTGCCTACATAGCTACAGTACAGTCATCAAAACCAGGAGATTAATGTTGATCCATTATTACCACAAATGATGTTTGAAGATAACATATAAAACATCTTTGGGGGAATTCCCTGGTGGTACAGTTGTTAGGACTCGGCACTCTCCCTACCGAGGGCCCGGGTTTGATCCCTGGCTGAGGAACTAAAAATCCCACAAGCCTTGCAGTATGTGGGGGAAAAAAAGCTGTGCATTTGGTTATTTTATAAATATTAGTTAAGCAAAAGAAAGAGGCTTCAGAGAAAGCTCATTCCTGCTGGGCATGACTTTAGGTGCTTAATTCCCCTCGGCCATTACTAGCACTTCAGGGAAAAGTCTGAGAAACATTGCTCTGTGGGCTCTAGTTGACCATGAAGACCCAGTCCTGGATGTGCCAACTTTGAGGGTAAAGAATGTTGATCCTACCTAGAAAAATGGTACAGACGAACCGGTTTGCAGGGCAGAAATAGAGACACAGATGTAGAGAACAAACATATGGACACCAAGCGGGGAAAGTGGTCGGGGGTTAGTGGTGGTAGTGTGATGAATTGGGAGTTTGGGATTGACATATATACACTAACATGTATTAAATGGATAACTAATAAGAACCTGCTGTATAAAAAATTAATAAAATAAAATTCAAAAAAAAAAAAAGAATGATGATACTTACCAAAGATAAAATATTTTGGATGTTTCAGGCCCATCTGGAGGTCCACCAAATGGGATCTCTGCAATGTTTTCACCCTGGCCCCAAAGAGCAGATGGGAAGTGAAGACTTTTGTTCTTGCTGCATGCCCTTATTTATGTCTCCAACAGCCAATGGCATCGTCCGGGGACATGCTTGACTAGTTTACCATCAAGTTCTTGGGTGCTACTTTTTTTTCCATCTCACTGATACAATGTGAGCATTCAGGTGAAGGGGATGTGGTCCACAAGTGAGAGGCAGAAATGTAAACACCTCAGGATCATGGGCACTGAACACTCTTTCTTGAATGAACATGCTTTTGTCTCAATCTGGGAACCTGCGCATTTGCTGATTGATTTGCCAGTCCAGGTATAATGAGTTTGACCTTGGAAAATGTCTGAGATCCATTTGGGACCATTAACTAGAATGACACTTTGGGAACATCACTGGACTGGTTCAAGAAACCTGAATTCTCACTTAAACTAATCATGTGATCTTGGGTCCCCTCGGTCTTATTTTTCTCATTTGCAAAATGCGGAGGGGAGGACTAGATGATCTCTGAGGTCACTGGATACAATCTCTTAAGACCTGATTTTATGAATATCTACTGAAAAAGCCTAAAGCTATGCGGATGTGAAGTTCTGTCTTGTGCTAAATGCCATGGCCCAAGCAGGAATTTGTATTGATTCTCACTAGGTCAGTTTGTTTGTTTATAATGGAAATATAGTTGATTTACAATGTTGTGTTGATTTACAATGTTGTGTTAATTTCAGGTGTACAGTTTATGTTTTAAATGTGTAACTTCAACTAAGTTTCTATGTGAAGAAAGTAACAAGTGTGATGTTTTCCCACTGTAACCAATCTATTGGAAAGCAGTGGACCACCATTGGTGGTAGTCTTGTGTAATGGAAGACAAACTAGGAAATGGAGCTGAATCAGAGGGTGGGAAAAATACAAGTGATCTTCCACAGGGAGGTGAAGGGACAGTAAGCTTACCTAAGGACTAGTTTAAATGACTCAGGAGGGGAAGTTGGAAATGTCACTAGAGCTTTCTCTCCATCAGCTGCTGTGACAGTTGAACCCTTTGGAGAGGAGCTGGTAAGGAGGACACCCTCAAAAGTTAGTGGCCCTAAATCCTCTGCCTTCTTTCCATATCTGTGGATTCATGGAAGGAAGAGATGAGAAAAACCCCCTTAAGTAGTCTTAATACAAATACTCAGTAGCCTTTGTTTCCCCCTCTAATTGAAAGCATTGCCCCTACCCACCCCACTCCAAATTACCTTACCTAGAGAAATTAATACATATTGTCCTTTTTGTCTGACCTTGAACCCTACCTTATATACTCTTGGCTGGGAAGTTCTTTTTGGCAAGAGGAGGCTGAGGAGGAGTTTGGCCTCCTTAGTTTAGGTCCTTTGTTCTTCTGTCATGGAAGTCAGGCCTGCTCCATCCATCACAGGTTTGGCTTCTCAACGTTTGACATCACAGTAATAAATATAAATGATTGCATCTCTCAAACTTTTCCTACACACCAGCCACTGTACTAAGCCCTTTATATATGTTGTCACATTAATCTGCATAATACTCTATGAAGTAGGTGACCTTTGCATAGATGAGGAAATTCCAATCTCTCTAAATCAAGAGGACTTTTCATCATGGTTGTATTTCCATTACGGGTAGACATCTTTCCTTATCTCACCTCTTGTGAACTTCCTACAAGACCTCACTAGCAATGTTTTCTCATGCCCCCATGGCTTCATGGATGCGCCCAAGCTTACTGGCTTTGGAGTCCTGCACAGGAACACATCCTGGTAAGAGCTCTGACTGCTCTTTCTATCTCTCCATGGTAGAATGCGGGGGTGGGGGTGGGCGGGTGGTGTAGGAGGAGGACTTTAAAATGAGGATCTGGAGTCTTCGAAGCCCTTTTGGAGGCCCAGTTGTGCAGGAGCGTAGGAGGAATGTGGTGAAATGGGCCAGGGTTCTCACAGAGAAGTCTCCCTGGACGCTGTTGCTGCGTTGGTCGGTTTTCTGCTGCTGTAGTTCTAAGGTCGTCCCCTAGGGCCAGAGACACTATGAAGAGGGCTGTCTGAATCAATGTGAGCAAAAGGGTTCCAGACTCAAGGGCACTTCCTCTTCCTACACGCTGCCCTTGAGATCAGGACCCTTCTCTCTCTGTTGACTCAGCTGGTCCTCTTCATAGTGTCTATGGGTCATTTTCTTCAGAGTCTGGAGACTTTGGGGAACTCGGGTCATGTAGAAAGGTATCCTACCTAGGCTATCTCAGATAGTCTCACTCCTAGAAAGCTAGTCCACACCAGCTCCAGTTCTTGGGTTACATTCTGTACAGGACTCTGTTTCTGCTCCTTAGATCCAGGTCGAAACAATTCTCTTTAGAGCCATCTACACAAGGCTGGGCAATGCTCCCCTAGACACCCTCCTCCCCCACTCCAAGCTCCCACCCCCAGCAACAGAAATCTCATAACTAATCAGTCTCCTTTTCCCATTTTTCAGCCTTTAAGTAGGAATGTATCAAGACGCAGCCTTGGTAACTGGCGCAAACCTGTTACTCGTTTTGAACCTCAGCTTCAGCCTTTGAAAGGCCGAATAGCCAAATGCTGATTTCAACATAATTCCTGGCATCCCTGAACTTGGCTGTGATCAGGATCATGTGAAGGAATGGGTGACTGTCAAATCTAATCTGTTAAAGCATCTGTATGAAAACAAGGCAGGTCATTTGGGTTCATTGTTAATATCTGAATAATAATCTCTTTCAGGTATTGGTGAGTACTCTGAATGTGACTGGAAGTGAAATTCTCCTTATGAACTTTAAAAATGTTGAAATCCTATCAGTCAGGGGAAATATAAATGCATATTTATTATTTTAAGAAAAATGTTGTAATAATTAATGGTTGTAAAAGCTTATACTACATATAAATTTTATGAAGAATTTTCACATAGTTAAATAGGAGAATTATTTGACAGTTATACAACTAATAGAAGAGCATGGATTAGCTGGATAACTTTAGGAAAAAAACCTTATATACTTTTTGAACCAAAAATATTTACAACAATTTAATAATTAGCACAACTACTATTTAATTTAACAAATAGTACAAAGCAGAACAATAGAAATTAGATTAGATCATGAGTCCATGATTTCATTATATTATAATCTTTGTGAATTGATATATTAGCATTTCTCATGTTAAACAAACTAATCCTTAAAAACTGTACTTTTTTAGGAAGATTTTTAAATTGAGGTATAATTTGCTTACAGTAAAGTACACAAATCTTAAGTGTACAGCTCAATGAGTTTTCACAAAGTAAACATATCTAGAGCAAGAATAGAACATCTCCAGCTTACCTCCTACACCTTGCCAGTTAGCGCTTCCCAAGGTTACCCCTATTCTGACCGCTATCACCACACCATAGATTGCTTTAGAATTATGTTTAATGTTAAGTTATTTAATACTATTTAGATCATGAGTATTTCAAGAAAAAGCCATATTTGGAAATTCTTCTTATTTCGAGAGGATACATTAAAAGCATAATTTTAGGGCTTCCCTGGTGGCGCAGTGGTTGAGAGTCCGCCTGCTGATGCAGGGGACACGCGTTCGTGCCCCATCCAGGAAGATCCCACATGCTGCGGAGCGGCTGGGCCCGTGAACCATGGCCACTGAGCCTGCGTGTCCAGAGCCTGTGCTCCGCAACGGGAGAGGCCACAAGAGTGAGAGGCCCGTGTACCGCAAAAAAAAAAAAAAGCATAATTTTAGCCACTTAAAAAGTTTGTGAGGAGGATGTCTCCAAAACCATAACACCCATAAGAAATATCATCAATAAAGAATAAAAAAAAGAGTTGTGAAGAAAGAATAAAGTGAAAAGAAAAATCAGCTACCCCTAAGAGACGTGGTTTTCTATGCACCTCAGTTGAAAATCATGTATTTAGAATGATAAATGCCCAGTACAGTGACCACAGGATATATAGATTTTACATTCAGTCATTTGGCATTTGACTATAAAGTATATTTATTGTCCCTCTACTTTCAAGACTCATCAACGTATTGGCCACTCACTCTGCTTGAATTGAATTGTTCAATGCTCTGCTCCCCTTTCTTTTCATCATCCCTTCCCTACCTTCTCTCCTCACCATCTCAAACCACCCAGCCCACCTAGCAGGACTCTGCCTGCAGACTTATTCTCCAGCCTACTCATAAACATCATTCTAGCAGAAGAAAGACCTCAAGGAGAATTGAATGGGGTATTTGCCAAAGGGGTATCTGCGTGTTTGCCAAAGGTGAATATGACTGGACAGGGCTATTGCTACTGTTACCTACAGCTAACTATCATTATTGAATGCTTATCAGTGCCTGGGCTTGACTAAGGCCTCATAAATGTCATTTCTAAATCTTCCTGAAATCCTGTTGGGTAGGTAGTATTACTCCCATACATGGAAACATAGTTGCAAAGAGGTGCAGTTTTCTTGAGGTCATGTAGCCACAAAGGACTGAGCCAAGATTTACACCCAATGGTATCTGGCTCCAAAGCTTACTCTGACTCTGGTAAGGCATAAGGGAGCGCTGGAGTGTGGGAGAGGGATAGGTAGAGAGTAGACTCCACAGCTGGGAAGGGAAGGTCTAACAAGGTAGTATTTGGGTGCTCAAGTAGGGTGGGCGTGGGGCGGGCATGGGGCTTAGTGCAGTTTGTCTGGGACTGAGATTAAGGAAGAGAGAAAGGGCTGGAGATGGTCAAGGCTGCAGGCAATGCTGGGTGTGGGCTAGGAGTGGGAAGCTATCAGGACCGAGTCTACATAAAGCCATAGCTTCTCCAGTTCTGCTCACCAGGAAGGGAGAAGTGGTGTCTGCAGCCGGGGTTTGGAGGGGTGGGGGGGAGGACGGGGAGATGGCATTTCCACATCTCAACCCCTCTGGCCTGGGCGGATTGCCAGAGCAGAGAGCCAGGGAAGCACCAAGGCAGGAGAGATCATTTATCGGGAGGAAGGAAGCTCTGGCAGCTCCCACCAGCTTGTTTGTGACAAGCGGGCACTGGGCCACGAAGTCCCTTGAGGTCAAGGGAAATGTGATCCCGGAGCAGGGGGATGAAGTTGGGACACTCCCCTGACACTGTGCCTTCAGGGCTATAGGCAATCAAGCTAGAGCCAGGCCCAGGGCCCCGGAAGAAAGAGCAGTGGACTAGAGAAGGGGGACGGCAGAGAGGTGGGGTGGGGCAGAGAGAGAGAGAGAATTAGGATCCTTGGAGCAGCTCATAAACAGTCCCTTGGCTAGAGCGGTAATGACCTTTACTGCAGCCAACATGGGGCAACTGGCTCTTCAGAGCTCTCGGGACATTGTTTCACGGGGGAGATCTTACCTGGTTCCCCTGTGGTCCCTGCAGAGGACTCTCCTTTTCCACCCAGCGGTAAAGTAGAAAGTGCGCTTTCTACTTTAAAGTCCAGCTGCTGCTACTAACCAAGCTGACAAGCTCTTTAATTAACAACTCCTTCTGCAATCTCAACGTCCTCATCCCTAAAGAAGATGAGTAATCCTAGTCATGTCTATCTCACAAGGGAGTCACGTGGACACACTGTGAAAAGCGTGAAATGCTATGTAAATATGAAGTGGTGCTGCTTTGTCTTCTTCCCTTCAGGCCACCTCCCTGCCCACAAGCCACGTCACTGCCAATCAGAGCTGGGGAAGAGGCCTAATTTAGGAATAGGAGTGGCTCTCGCCATAAATCCCCTACACTCCTTTTCCATTTCTTTCCTCCTCTCGTCATGCTGCCGTGAGAAGATGGGGTAGGGGAAAGATGTAGGAGGCACAGACCAAGGAACCCACACCCCTAAGCTAATGAAAAAACAGCAATGAAAAGTTGAGAGATCGCCATCTCTTCTGGAGTTTAGCCTACTCATGTATCACCTCAACTCCCCACAGTCCCACCCTCTCAGAGGAGCCTGAGCTAGGAAGGGCCCCAAGAGATGTCAGAGAGAACCTTCTGGGCTGAGGAGGAGTGGTCCAGAGGCCTGCAGAGGGATTTAAGGAGCGGCCCAAGCACGCGGCTGGCTGGAAACCTAAAGGACATCGTCCAGGTGGACAGGAACCAGCTTGAATTTGCTAGAGTCCCCCTCCTGGGGAGGGTCACAGGCCACGATGTAAGTAGCATTCAGTTGCTTCTCCTTGTACCTGCAGTCTGGGTACCTCCCTGAGGTGAGGTTACACATGGTCAGGGTTACAGGCTTCTGGCTCCGGTGGCAGTTTTTACGGCCTCTCTTGCAGGTTATGCTGGGCGTCTGACAAATGGCGGCCACACCGGAGAAGGATTCATGCACGAAGGTGTTGAGGTCTTTGCAGCGATTGGAGTACTTGTTGATGTTTTGCATTGTCGTGTTGCATCTCTGAGGCCTGGGCTGCACGTGCTGAGTTTCAAACCACCGAGCTGAGGTCATGTTTCTGGGCTTGGCACCGACTGGGTCGTCGGCCATCCACAGGCCCAGCAGCAGGAACAGCAGCAGAGGGCAGAATCCTGCTCTGGCTGGTACCATCTCTCTTAGGGGGAACAGTCAGAAGGGAGGGCTGGGGTCTCTGCGCACAGAGGAGGTGGAAATTAGCCTTGCTAAACCTGCTCCTTCTAGCTAATCACCATCTCCCTCCCCTGCTGTCTCCTTCCTCCCTCACCCTGTGTCTTTCCTCTCCCTTCCCCTCCCTGTGCCCCAAACCACTAAGACCCCACCCCCTAACCCTAGGGCTCCATCCCCCTCACCCTGAATCCCTATCCTCCCTCATTCTGTCCCTCATGCCTCCCACTCCTTGCTCTATCTCCTCTCCCTCATGTCCATCCCTCTGTGTCCCCATGTCCCTATGTCCTTATTCCTTTCTCTGTGTCTCACGCCCTCCATGACCCCATCCCCATCTCCTCCATAGCCCCATTTTGTGCCTCCAACCCTCAGCATCTCTCTCCTCTCTCCTCTCTCCCCTGTGTGTATACTCACCCCCTCCACATTGAGTCCCTCCTTTGTCCACCTTGTCACTCACCTGAGTATACTGTTCTCTGGCCAGAACCCATCCCTTCCCTGTCCTCTCTCCTCACTCACGTCCCGCCACAGGCCTTACCTCCTCCCCAAATCCTCGTGTTGTGGCTTCTGCTCACCGGGACGCACCTGCCTTCCGCTGGGCCTCAGATCTCTGAGGGCCTCTTCTCACCACCGAACTCCTTAAGAGCTGGCCTGGCTTGTGGTGCTTCTGTTTGGGGGCAGGCTGGGGAGTAGCGGTGGATCAGGAAATGAATCAGGTTCATGCCTCTTCACTTACGTGTCCCAAGTAAGTGGATATCTGTGGAGCTGGTACATCTGCCTAAACATCTTCAGCAGTGAGGATGCCTGAAGCCTGAATCCTCACACTCAAAGGCTAGACCTGGTCCCTAGCCACATGGTTCTAATGACTAGTAATGCACCTGACTCAGGTGTCAACCCCGAATGAGAGCTGTCATTTATCATCTCCTATATACACCTCTGGTTCTGATTCTGGGAAGAGCCAATCACTGTGGTGGTAAGGATTGCTTTTTCTGATCCGAGATAAAGATGGAATAGCCTAGAAAGTTACTTCCTGTCATCAGGACTTACTGCTGAGCTTTTGGAGGAGATGGAGGAGACAGGGAAGTGGACCAATCACCAGAGTCACAAGGCGCAGCACCATCCCACCTCAGCTATTCTACAATGATTCATCCCTCTGGGTCCCTCCCGTTCCAGTGTCAAGCAAGGTCATCTGGCTTTACCTGGAGATGGCGCCCAACACCTGTCACCCTTCACTCTTTCCCTTACTACTTTATTAAAATTTGCAACGCTTAGTGTCCTAATTTGAAAATGCTATTGGTGGTGGTGTGCTGTACAGCCAGCCTAGACCTTCCTCTACTGTGTATTCCCCGTTCCTTGTGGCAGTTACAGTTGTGTGGAGAGCTTGGGTCCGTGCTGCTCCGGCGGCTCCAGTGAGCTTGGCATGGGAGACTCAGAAGAACTGAGACACTGAGGAAGAGAAGCATCACTATCTGTGGATGGGAAGGCCTGGAAAACTGAGATGAACAGTGTTCTTGTTATCAGGTTTCACCTGTAAGTAGTAGGTGGTCTCAGAATAGTGGTTTCAGGTTCATTCACGTAGTCAATATTTATTGAGCATCTACTATGGGCCAAGGTGCTTGGGATATATCAGTGAATAAAAGATACAAAAATCCCTACCTTTGGAATCCTTACATTTCATTGGAGGAAAGGCAGTAAAAAATACACCATTGCTAAGGAAAAAAGAACAAATGGAGATTGGTAGGCAGTGATTTTTATTTTTATTTATTTTTCATTGGAGTATAGTTGCTTTATGCTATTGTGTTCGTTTCTACTGTACAGCAAAGTGAACCAGCTATACTTATACATATAACCCCTCTTTTTTGGATTTCCTTCCCATTTAGGTCACCACAGAGCAGTGAGTAGAGTTCCCTGTGCTATACAGTCGGTTCTCATTAGTCATCTATGTTATACATAGTAGTGTATATATGTCAATCCCAGTCTCCAATTCATCCCACCCCTCCCTTCCTCCCTTGGTATCCATACATTTGTTCTCTACATCTGTGTCTCTATTTCTGCTTTGCAGATAGTTTCATCTATATCATTTTTCTAGATTCCACATATATGCATTAATATACAATATTTGTTTTTCTCTTTCTGACTTACTTCATTCTGTATGACAGTCTCTAGATCCATCCATGTCTTTGCAAATGGCACAATTTTGTTCCTTTTTATGGCTGGGTAATATTCTATTGTACACGTGTACCACATCATCTTTATCCATTCCTCTGTTGATGGACATTTAGGTTGCTTCCATGTCCTGACTATTGTAAATAGTGCTGCAATGAACATTAGGGTGCATGTATCTTTTTGAATTATGGTTTTCTCCGGGTATATGCCCAGGAGTTGGATTGTTGGATCATACGGTAATTCTATTTTTAGTTTTTTAAGGACCCTCCATACTGTTCTCCATGGTGGCTATATCAATTTACATTCCCACCAACAGCGTAAGAGGGTTCCCTTTTGTCCACACCTTCTCCAGAATTTACTGTTTGTGATTTTTTGATGATGGCCATTCTGACCAGTGTGAGGTGATACCTCATTGTAGTTTTGATTTGCATCTCTCTAATAATTAGTGATGTTGAGCATCTTTTCATGTGTTTGTTGGCCATCTGTATGTCTTCTTTGGAGAAATGTCTATTTAGGTCTTCCTCCCAGTTTTTGATTGGGTTGTTTGTTATTTTGATATTGAGCTGCATGAGCTGTTTGTATATTTTGGAGATTAGTCCCTTGTCAGTTGCTTCATTTGCAAATATTTTCTCCCATTCTGAGGATTTTTTCGTCTTGTTTATGGTTTCCTTTGCTGTGCAAAAGCTTTTAAGTTTCATTAGGCCCCATTTGTTTATTTTTGTTTTTATTTTCATTACTCTAGGAGGTGGTAAAAAAGATCTTGCTGCGATTTATGTCAAAGAGTGTTCAGGCAGTGATTTTTAAATAGGGTCATTAAAGTAGGTGACTCTGGGACAAAGATTTCAAGGTGAGAGTGAACTTACGCTTGTCTGGGGAAGAATGCTCCAAGCATAGAGGACAGCACTGTAAAGGCCCTAAAGCAGATGGATGCCTGGGGAGTTGGAGGGACAGTAAGGAGTCCAGTGTGGCTGGAGCGGATGAGTGATGGGGTCGGAGAGGGACCAGAGGCCAGATCATGGGAAGCCTCAGAGACCATTAGGAGTTTTGCTGTGCACACAGTGGGGAGCCCTAGGAGGGTTCTAAGCAGAGGAATAAAGGGAGTTCCCTGGTGGTCTAGTGGTTAAGATTCCCGGTTTTCACTGCCATGGCCCAGGTTCAAACCCTGGTTGGGGAACTGGGATCCTGCAAGATCCCACAAGCCATGCGGCATGGCCCAAAAAAAAAAAAAAAAAAAAAGAGGAGGAGTAAAAGCTTTATCTGTTTAAAAATACCCTGGCTGTGGGACTTCCCTGGTGGCGCAGTGGTTGAGAGTCCGCCTGCCAATGCAGGGGACACGGGTTTGAGCCCTGGTCTGGGAAGATCCCACATGCTGCGGAGCAACTAAGCCCGTGAACCACAACTACTGAGTCTGCGCTCTACAGCCCACGAGCCACAACTATTGAGCCCACGTACCACAACTACTGAAGCCCGCACGCCTAGAGCCCGCTCTCCACAACTAGAGAAAGCCCACGCGCAGCCACGAAGACCCAACGCAGCCAAAAAAAAAAAAAAAAAAAATCTCCTGGCTGTTGCATGGATGTGACTGCAGAGAGGCCCACGCAAACCATATGGGTCATACAGTTTGTGTTCCGGTCCAGAAGTTAGGATTTTGAGTCAGGAAGATGCGTGTTTGTTTTGAGGTCAGGGGACATCATTTTAGCAGATAGAGAGCATAGCTGTGGGTCAGGATGAAGTATCTTTGGAATAAAAAATGGTGTTGGAGGGAGAAGCACCACTAGGTGGCAACAGAGAAGCAGGAGCCAGTGCACATAGGCCTCTTGCTCATCCGGTTCCCGCTCTGTGAGGCCTTGGCTGGGGAGCGCATTCACTGCTTTGTTCAGGTGCCTGAATCTTTGTAGTTGGAACTTCTGGGTAGAGAATTATGCCTCTGCTGCTGTAGAAATGCAAATGTTTGGAGATAAAATCCATGGTTTAAAGCAGACTGTGGACAGAATGTGGATCAGGCCAGCCCTGGACTGGAGGCTGGGGTGAGAGGAGTGGGTGGGAGGCCAGGACCTCATTTGGATTCCTTGCCTGCCCGGACTCCTCCTCACTTCTCATTATTCTAGGGTGAGATGTTTCCAAACCATGGCTTGAACTGCCCTCTGCTCTTGTATTTTCCTGTCATTATAATTATCCCAGTTTGCCCTTTAACTTCATCATGCGGGGTTCTCCAGAAGGCTTCCTTAGTGCTCTGTGAAAGTCAACACAGCCATGCTGTCCCAGTTCAAAGGGAAGAGGGAGTAAAGGGTTAGGTTTGCGTGTGAAAACTGAAAAGTCGAACCTACTATTTGCACAGTTCAAGCTGAAACCCTTATTTCACCTCCATTATTTGGATAAGGCAGGTGATTTTGTTTATTTTTTCGCTGAAACTATCCAGCTTCCAAGACCCACTTCACTTTGCACTCGGTAGGATAATTTTGCCATGTTTCCTTCGCTACATTCATAGGGCGAGAGGAAAGGATGGAGGAAGGGGAACAGGGTTAGGGAGAACAAAAGGAGTCAGGCATCAGGCCAAGGACTGGGCAGGGAGTCTGGCAGAAGAGAGAAGAGAAAAATTAAAGAAGGGAGAGCAGAAGACAAAATGGTGGGAGACAGGCTTCCCTGGTGGCGCAGTGGTTGCCAATGCAGGGGACACGGGTTCGTGCCCCGGTCCGGGAAGTTTCCACATGCCGCGGAGTGGCTGGGCCCGTGAGCCATGGCCGCTGGGCCTGTGCGTCCGGAGCCTGTGCTCTGCAACAGGAGAGGCCACAACAGTGAGAGGCCCACGTACCGAAAAAAAAAAAAAAAAAAATGGTGGGAGAGAAGATGGGGGAAGAAAGCCCCTCACATGGCAGCCTCTATCCAGGGATGTGAGGTAGCTCCCCAGCCTCCTTCTCCTTCTAGCGGCATAGTCACTGCTCTTGGCCTAACCTCTCCCCAGGCTGCTGCTGCTGCTGCTGCTGCTGCTGCTGCTGCTGCTGTGTGTGTGTGTGTGTGTGTGTGTGTGTGTGTTTAAAGTTGTTTGGGTGGGTGTTGTGAAAATGCCAATAGTGCCAGGTGGACCTCTGCCTGTCTTCCCCACAGGACCACAGCTGCTACTTCCTCTAGCCTGCATTGGGAGGGGGTGAGGGGGGCTGGAAGAGACGAGGGCCAAGCCTGGATTGGTGCCCACCCTTCAGAGCCCAGCCTCTCTCTCTTCCGGAGTTCCACACAGCCTCTGGATACCGACGGAAAGCCCGTGAGAGTTTCCCTCCAAGCAGGAGCAGATCCAAGTTCTGTTATCCTGATTGTGTTGCTCCCAGGATAAATAAAGGTAGTGGACTCATTTTTGTAGACGGGGAAAGTGAAAAAAACAGCAAGTCGGGGTCAGATGTGGGATTCACTTTGGGTCTTTGAATTCTCATGACCTTTCCTGGAACAGCTGTGGATCTGGAGGAAGCAGCAGGGACAGAAAGCTGGAATCTTTGGCTCCCAGACCAATGCCTTTAGACAAGCCAGGATGTAGCAGTGGGGGACCTGGTCTGGGATTGAGAGGCCTTACCAGGTCACTCTGTCTCATAAGCCATTGCCAGTTCCTCATTTATCTCTAGAATAAAATATAAATTCCTTAGCCTGATATTCAAGGTCTGCCGTAATCTGGCAAACCCATCTTTCTAACTTTGTCTCTGACTTTTCTCCCACTGATTGCCTCAACCCCAGCCAGGCTGGTTTTCTCTCTTTCCTCAAACATACCTTTCATAATTCTCTTTATCTCCACTTAACTCAACTGTTCCTTGAGATGTATCCCGAGGTCCCAGGTGACTCCCTCTCTCCCCAGAAAACTTTCTCTGACCCTCCTAATTCAGAGGGATCTCTCTCACCTCTAAATTCCTACAACATTTACTGTCTTCAAGATGTATAATTTTCTGCCTTGAATCATTGGTTATTTCTTCATATATATGTATTGCTTTCCTCCCGTTTAGACTGTCAATTCCCAGAAGACAAGGACTATCTGTTATACTACTTCTGTACCTCCCACAGGATGTAGCATAGTGCCTTGCATATAAGGGACCCTAAATGATTCAAATTCTACGTTAGAAGGCATTCGTTCTGCCCTTGAATGATCCCAGTCCCAGTTGAGGAACTAACAAGGCACCTCCTGAAATTTAACCCTGGGGTGGAGGTGAACCTATGACAAGAAGGTTGAAATGGCTGAAGCAATCCTTTGGGTTCAAGGACAACCCAGGACACAGTTTGCTATTTGAACAATATGAGTTGGACAGGGCAAAAGTGATGCCACTGAGATTGTAGTGAGCTCACTTGGGGCAAAATCTTGGGGCACCCCCTCAATCATAGGGAATCATCCCTGCACTTGTCACTCTAGCCAGTGGTTCTAGAAATCCTACCATTGGGGAGGGGAGGAGGGAAAGAGTGTGTAGATGGCTATACGCAGAAAGTCACTTCTACGGGAAAAATAACAAAAAGTTGTTTCAGTGATGAACTATCAATAATCCTTCTGC